GACCGTTGATCGCGAGCTGGTCCTCGGTAGTGCCTGCGTCCCTGATCCACTGCGAGACGCCGTTCTTGACCTCGCTGTCGGCAGTCGCCTGGGCACAGCCACTCCTGAAGACACTCGGGTCAGGTGGCCTGTCGTACGATGCCAATCGCGCCAAGTCCACTGCGCCAGATTCTGCAGCCCGTGCCTGCGCCCGCGATCGTTGCACCTCGTCCATGTTAGCACGGAGAGCACCTTGCTGCGCCTCAGCGGCCGTAGTCCACTCCTGAAGTTGATGAATATCGCTGTCGTGGTTGTCGGGGCGAGCAATCTGCGGCTGCAAGAGGCCCACCACCGTGGTGCACATGTCCCGATGCGCCTGGTCCATGGTGTTGCTGATCTCGATGCGGACCCCAACCACCTGTTGCGAGAACGCCGCCGTGACCGCAGCTTCGATCCCACTTGCAACAGAGCCGTCATTAGCAGCATGAGCAGGAGCGGCACCGCCGTGAGTCCCAGCAAGGAGGGCAGGTCCACCAGCTGGCGCAGGTGCCTGGCGCCATGGGTCCGCCCCATGCAGAGGATCGGCTCGTCCATCGCGCTCTTCGTGATCAGGGAACGTGGGCGCAGCCTCAAGCTCCCTCGCGAGGCTCGGAGTAAGCCGCGGGTAGTCCACAGCGCCAGGAGCACGGTGGCCGCAAGCGCCATGAGAAGGAGCACTCGCATCACAGCGGTCATCGGCACGTGCATCGCGCTGACGAGGCTCAGAGTCCCTGCTGCAAGAATCCGACGATGATAGCTCACTGCGTCGATCTCGGCGGCGACGAACTTTATCTCCCCTACGTCGGCGACGAGCTCATGCCCATCTGCTGCTGCGGCTGGGATCAGAGGCTTCATCGCTCAGCATAGGCTGCCAGCAGCGAGCGGACGAGAGTGTACAATGGTTGAGGAACTCTGGGCGTTCGGGCAGGCAGGAACGGGAAACGCCTCCGTTTACCCACCGACCCGAGCGCGGATCGATGCAAATATCTGCCAGACCACAAGGGTCTTGCCCGCCGCGGACTAGCGGTATCCACTTGTTCCCCTGAGGGCTTGGGATCTTGAGCCAAAATGGCTACGGAGGAGGAGGAGGAGAAGGAGGAGGAGGAGAGGGAGGAAGAGAAGGAGGAGGAGGAGGAGGGGGAGGAAGAGGAGGAGGAGGGGGAGGAGGAGGAGGAGAGGAGGAGGAGGAGGAGGAGGGGAGGAAGAGGAGGAGGAGGGGAGGAGGAAGGGAGGAGGAGGAGGAGGAGGAGGAGGAGGAGGAGGAGGACGAGGAGGAGGAGAGGAGGAGGAGGAGAGGAAGGGGGAGGGCGAGGAGGAGAAGAGGAGGAGGAGGAGTAGGAGGAGGAGGAGGAGGAGGGGGAGAGGAGAGGATGAGGAGGAGGAGGAGGAGGACGGGGAGGAAGATGAGGAGGAGGAGGAGGAAGAGGAGGAGGAGGAGGAGGGGGAGGGGAAGGAAGAGGAGGAGGAGGAGGAGGAGGAGGAGGAGGAGGAAGAGGAGGAGGAGGAGGAGGAGGAGGAGGAGGAGGAGGAGGAGGTGGAGTGAGATTACATTCGGCTCCAATTTCCTTTCACCCATGTCGATGAGCAACGATAGCGCGTGCTTCCACTGCCCGCACTTCTCGCAAGCGCTGATTCCGGCACTGTAGCTGACTAGGACGGCCAGTAGCATAACAGGCCACGAGTTGTTCTCAACAGCTACAAGAGACCATACACCACACAGACGGCAGTGCTTGCCCCGTGGGATCTGTTGCGCTATAGGCTGGGTGGAAACAGAGACGCTAAGAAATGGGTCGCCGAAACCAAAACATATTCACGGGTAACACCACAAACAACACATTCTGGATGTCTACGCGAATCTTCGGGGATCGGCACCGGGCCTCCTCCCTGGCGCGCTCCACGCACCAGGGGCGGCGCGGATCCAGCGCCGCCCCGCAAGCTTCTCTGGAATGCAGAATAGCCACCCTCAGAGTAAGCACCCCGACGAGCAGAGCCGTCTGGCAAACGCACCCGAGGAATGAATCAAAAGGGCTGGGCTGTTCAGTAATCGCCCAGGACCGTTGAGTGAACGCCAATTATGGGGGTCGGGGTGCTTTTTCCTCATTTGATTCTTTCTCGCACGCCAACCCAGACATCGGGCGCTCTGACGTTTCCGATGCGTAGGCCCCAGGAAGTCTGGACAAACTTCCTGGGGCTAGTTTCTCGTCCCGAGTCGTTTTTGACTGCCCCGGGACCCGCTGAGGGCTCCCAGACGCCGAAAACGGCGCCTCCTGGAGGCCCTCTTGGAGCCCTCTTATGGCGTCTAAGGGGACTCTTGGGCCGTCTGGGAAAAAACATCTTAGGCCGTCTTGGGGCCATCTTGGCGCGCCCCACGCCACAACTGCATGTTGTGGCCGTCTTCCGCCGTCTTCTGCCGTTTCCCGCCGTTCTCCCGCCCGTGTCCGAGGCCTAAATTCGAGGGGTGCCCCCCAGAGGCCCCCTCGGGGGGACACACCGCGGGAACCCTTCCGCAAGGTCGGGGGACAGAACCTACGAAAGACGGCGGGCGGCGACAGCAGAATCGGCGGCGCGCCCGGGGGGGAAGTGAGGAGGAGAAAGCCCTCTCGGAAGGCTCGGAAGCCTCCCGAGCCTCTGAGAAGCTGACCTACGCCTTCCCGAAGACACAGACACAGCCTCTCAGAAGGCGCGAGGGCTCCTGGGGAGTCCCGCCGCCTTCTGAGAAGGCCACCTCCTTCTCACTTCCCCTTCCCGCTCGCCGCTGACAGAAGCAGATCGACGATCCGATCGGCTAGACGTAAGAGTGACCCTGGGTAAGAGTGACCTTTGGTGCGCAGCTTTGGGGGGCGCGAGGGAGCCAAACCCAAGGGCGTGGGCCGCTTATATCGCATCGTGCTCGGCGATCGGGGGGAGCCCGCTGAGCCCGCACCAAAGGTCACTCTGGCGAAGGGTCACTCTTACGTCTAGGCGAGCCGATAAGGGGGCCACGTGCGAACCCTACCCCCACCCCCCTCAGAAATCGAGTGGGGTAGGGGTAGGGTTCGCACGTGGCCCCCTAGCCGACAGAAGCAGATCGACGATCCGAGCTGCACAAGAACTTTTCCGGGGCAGTGCAGGGCCACTCCGCGTCCGTGGCTCCGCCGGCGCACTGCGCCTGGGCGCCGCCTGGACTGCCAGGTCGCACAGGAAGGGTGCAGGCAGGGATGCCGGGGGCCTTGGTCGGAAACTGGAACATATACATTGACAGTGGCGGGTTCTGTTTCAATCCCAAGACTCGTTCGAGGGTCGGGGGCGACGTCGGGGCGGTGTGGTGTATGCGTGTTTCCCCGTTTCCCTGGGGGCAGTAACGAAACATGTGTACACCAAGATCCCGTACACACCAGAATCCGCGTTCCCGTGCGAAGTTCAGCGCAGGGTCGGGAAGCGCGTCGGTCTATGGAGTTCGTCTCCCTGCTTGGAGGGCCAATGTTAAAGGGGCCACAGGACACACAAATAAATACACACAAATAAAAAGATCCCCCATATTTTCCCATATTTTCTGGGTTTCTGTCTTCCCCCCCAGTTCCCATATTTTCCCATATTTTCCTGGGAGTCGACGATTCATTGTGTCTGTGTGTTTCTTTCCCTCCTGAAATGTGGGCGTTCTCGGGCGGGGCCGGCCAGCGAAGGCCGCCAGGGGCGGGCGGGAGGGGCAAGGCTGCGAGGGTGGCCCTGGAGAGGTGCTCGTCCTTGCGGATGCGACCCGACTGTGCAGTCATCGTGCTGCCAGAAGGAGCGCACAGCAGGGAACGGAGGGGCTTTTGCTGGCCACGGCGGGCCTAGGCCACAGACAGACTCCACGAACAAACGCCGAGCAGCAGTCCAACAGAAAACACAGCCCCTCCTTTGGGTGCAGCTCACGGGAGACTCCCATACCATCTTGTCAGCTCTTGCGAGTCGACGCCAGTCGAAGCTAAATCGACGCTAGATCGACGCTAGCCGACGCTAGCCGACGCTACATCGGCGCTACCTCATGGACTCCCAGACGCTAATCGACGCCAGCCGACGCTACAGACGGAATGAAGAGGGTACACCAGGCTCCCATGATTTGTTACGGAGCCTCCTACTTCTCCTCCTCCTCCTCCTCCTCATCCTCCTCTTCCTGCTCCTCCTCCTCCTCCTCCTCTTCCTCCTCCTCCTCCTGCTCCTCCTCCTCCTCCTCATGCTCCTCCTCCTCCTTCTCGCTCGCCACGAGCACCAGCATATACCACCGGCGATACAAGATGGGCCGGTGGAGTGTGCGAAGCGACTGACAAGTCTCAGGAGCGGCCCGAGAACCCTCCTTTCAGCGTCTTCAAGGGCTCCCAACTTCGCGCTTCGCGCTGCGCGACGCGCGAAGTGCCAATAATTTCGCGCTCTCGCGCCGCCTCCCAAGGGGAGAAGAGGAGGAAGAGGAGGAATCGGAGCCGAACCGCGAAGCGCGAAGCGCGAACAACTTCGCGCCCTCGAGGGCGCCCCTGCCCGAGGGCAGCTGCTGTTGGTCTGCGGCGAGTTGGGTCCGACAGGCGGTCGGGCTGCTCCGGTGGGAGCTCGACCACGGGGAGCCCTGCACGAGAAGACCAACCCTGAGACCCCAGGTCTTTTTTTATTCCCCACTTACAGCCACTGCGAAGTATTATACAACATCCCAGCCCCACCAGCTGGACACTCACACCATGAGAAAGTTAACAAAAACGAGGAACGGGGTGTGCCATGTGCCTGTACCCCCCGAGGCCTAGACAGCCGTTGATACGTTCCATTGAGTTTTCGGGTGGGAGCGTCACGCTGTCCACAGCGAAGCCATCGAAGCCTACGAAACCCGGGGCACCCTGGAGGCGAGCGGGGTGTTCCTCGGCGTGGGTCTCCGCTGCATCACGGCGGGATTGCATCGGGGGCGGGAGCAGAGCTGGGACGCGTCCGCAGCCAATTTCGGCGGATGTAGGGGCGGGGCAAGAGGGGAGTAGGAAGCGGCCGCGGACACAGACACATCGGTCGTCACATCGGTCGTCCTGGTCCCCTTCCTCGTCCTCGAGCGGGGTGCCTGACTTCTCTGTCTCGGCCACGGTCTTCGTGGCGCCTGTCCTGCGGCCCCTGCCGTCCGAGCGGACGGTGAGGCACTGCCTTGATTGCCTGCAGATGCAGGCCCTGCTGACGCTTCGGGTGTGCGCGCCCAGTGGCCTGCCGAAGAGAAGCGGCCGCGGAGCAGCCAGAGAGCTCCCAGGCCATGCAAGCAAGCGGCGCCGGAGGTCAGGCGCATGATCTCGACGACGGCGCAGCAAATCGCATGGTCCGCACCAAGGGGCCCGCCCACGAGAACCCGCACAGAGGGTCCCGCCCATGCAATCCTAGATCTCGGGCGACATCACTAGGCAATCCCAACCTTTGTCCTCGATTTGGGACCTGGGGGGGTTCGGGCCCTGGGAAAATAAAACATTCCCGGGGACAAAACCCTATGCCCCAAATAATCACAGGGTGGAGAAAATGAAATTCGGGGTTCCGGCGGGATGAGAAACTTTTCTCGGCAGGTCGCAACATCAAGGAGGAGAAGCAGGAGGAGGAACGAACGCAATCTTTCGGAGTGTGTGGATGCATGGAGTGTCTCATAGTACAACGATACCGTGCTCGCTTTTGCGGGGCCTTCCAAGAGGGGTGGGAGGAGTAGGAGTTCTGAGAAATACGATGGTATAGCGAAAACTTGCTCGCTCAGGCGGGGCCTCCCTGGAGGGGTGGGAGGAGTAGGAATCCTAAGAATCATGATGGTATAGCGATACCCTGCTCGCTCAGGCGGGGCCTCCCTGGAGGGGTGGGAGGAGCAGGAATACAAGGCAGACTTCCCCTGGCGATGGTGAATTTCGGCCCCGCCGTTCCCCACCGCTGACCAGAACTGTCTTAGCCGGGGATAATCATGAGGATCGTGGGAGGAAGGGGGGTGCTCTATTACCCGGGGCATGCGGTTACCCTGGGGGAAAAGGTCGGGATCCTTGAGGACAAGGATTGAAAAAATGAGACCGGCCGATGTCAGGGGTCCCGCCCATACAATTGGTAAGGCCTCGGGTTGCGCATAGACAGCACCCCCAGGTAGTCCCAGCTGGTCTCAACAGGCCAGCCGGGACTACCTGGGGGGCTGTCTGAGCGCAACCCGAGGCCTTATCACATTCAATCCCGCTCAGAAGGCCCCAGCCAGAAATGCCCCGTGTGCCAACTGCGGCTGGTTCGGGCACACGCGACGCTGCAGTATTGCTTGTGCTCGTCCAGACCAGCGAGGGTCTTCTCCTGAATCACTGGAAGAGATGCCCAGACATTTGTAGGGGTAAGTTCTGGCCTCTAGCTTGTTGATGACCTCGACATAGCCGAGGACGTCTCCACAAGGAAGTACGAAGGGGAAGGCGAGAAACAGAGCAATCCTCCCGAAGAATACTGGACAATAAGAGCATGGCACGTTGAATCCGAAGTCGGCGCGCGTAAAGGTAGGTGACGTTCGGCTCCAGCTTCACTTTCCCCATGTCGCTGAGCAACGTCAATGCCTGCTGCCACAACAATCCCCTTTCGCACGCGCTGATGCCAGCATTGTAGCAAATTGCGTTCGGCTCCAGTTTCCCTTCTACCACGTCACTGAGCAGCGACAGCGACAGTCGCCATTGTCCATCAATATCGCATGCAACTATTGTACTGTAGCTGTAGGCGTCGGGCACCAACTTCGCACCTCGAATTTCGCTTAGCAATGCCAAGGTATGTTGCCACAGCCCTTTCTTTCCACACGCGTTGATGGCAACGTTGTAGTTTATTACGCTCAGCTCGAGTGTCGCTTTACGCATGTCGTTCAGCAGCACGAAAGTTTGCTGCCATTCCTCAGCTTTCCCAGACGCGCTGATGGCAACATTGTAGCTGATAACGTTCGGCTCTAACTTGACCTCCAACAAGTTACTGAGTAACGACAACGCCTGCTGCCACTGCCCGTCCTTCTCGCACGCACTCAGTCCGGCATTGTAACTGACCATAACTGACCAGGCCTGTGGGTTGCCATCCAAGGTTGACTCATCGCTGCACCTATACATACATAGTGGCAACACTACGTCAAAAAAAGAGAGCGCAAAGAAACAGTAGGCGGATCCCGGCAAGTCGGCAAAGAAAGAGACACCTCCCGCTTAAGATACCGAATCGCAAAATGAAGATGCACATGTTGCGCGCGGACTCTGCATCCTGACCCTGTTTTGACAGCGCATGAAAGCCCGAAACATGACAGCACGTGGCTTTGAACACGGGGCACGATGTGCACTGTCCCAATGTGGCAGATGCCCATGGTCCTTCGCCCCTTGGCACACAAAACTTGCGGGCCAGCGGGTTCCAACGGCTCCTTTACTCGCGCTTCGCGCTGCGCAAAAAGCGAAGCGCGAATAACTTCGCGCCCTCACGCGCGAATAACTTCGCAGGAGCAGGAGGACCAGGACGAGGAAGAGGAGGAGGAGGAAGAGGACGAGGGAGAGGAGGTGGAGGAAGAGGAGGAGGAAGAGGACGAGGACGAGGCACGAGCAGAAGCGAAACGCCCCCACGAGGCGAATCGCGAGGACGCGAATCACTTCGCGTCCTCACTGGAGCCCTTTGGTCCCTGTATGTATCAACATGAGTTTGGTCTCCAAACCTTTCCTGAAGCATGGGGGCATGTTTGGGCCGGGCCCAAACAACTTACAGTAGGAGCTTGGCCGCAAGAAACCTTCCACAAAAAACACACACTGAGACCCCAGGACGTCCATTGATGTTTACTGTGGGAACGTCACTCTCTCCATAGCCAAACCATCGAAACCCAAGACACCCCGGGGCACCCTAGAGGCAAGCAGGGTGGTTCTTGGCATGGGTGTCCGCTGTGTTTCGGGTTGCCAGACGCCGCTGAACCAATTAAGATCTCGAGTCCCAGTTGACACCCGAATCAGACCCCACCTCTGACAGGACGCCCTGGAGCTTGGCATCCTGACCTTCCTTTGTACGTGGGCACGTCCGTGATGTATCGACTTCGATGTGTCAGAGGTACACACGGACAGTGGATGCACCAACCTTGTGACTTCACCGTGCGACATCTGAAGGGCATTCAACAAGTGTCTCCCAAATATGAGATGACTCATGATGACGAACTGAATATGGTGGGTCTACCATTGCATCCAATACGAATTCTCACAGAACCTCGGATGGTGCGTTGAATTGTACGGCGCCAGTTCACATAAAGCGCATACTGGCCTTTGCGTTCCTCCTTCCCCCTACCACAAAATATGCCCTTGGGCTCGGCGTGCTCTTCGAGCCTTTACAAGGCAAGACCAGCCGAATGCAACTCGGAACGCCAACATCAACACATGACAGAGTTATTTGCGTAGTGTGCAACAATGTTATATAGATCGCGTTCCGCTTTAATTTCCACTCGCCACTCTACAACCAGCTTCCCGCGCGAGAGCTGTCCACACAACCAAGTGCGACTCGAAACAGTCAGTCCGACTCAAGAGCATCGCAATTAGTCACGAACGAAAGCTGTTGGTGCACAGTGTGTTGGATATCGTGGTCCTCTGGAAACGTCGAACATAAGGTCATAAGGTGCGAGGAACGTGCGTTGGGCTCTGTGGGCCGAAAGCTCCGGTCCCCTGACGCAGCGAATTTGCCACAGCTTCGGATATCCAAGACGCGGTAGAGAGATGACGTTTGGCTCTAATTTCGCTTCCAACATCTCAGCTATCAAAGACAACGCCCGCTGCCACTGTCCAGCATTCTGGCACGCGCTGATTCCTGCACTGTAACTGACCAGCGCGCACTAGCTTTCAGCTGTGAAAGCTACTGAAACGAAACCCATGGGTGAACATCCAAGCTCGCATTCAGAGCAACGCGTGCCATGCATCGGCACCCCACTGACGGGACGGGAATCACGAAACACGAGCGCACCCACCGGGGACCCGTCTTGGCAGGATCTTTTTGTTGGCCTCTGAAAGATCTCGGGGGTCCCAGTGAGTGCTCAGGGCCTCGGGCGCCGAGGACGAATGAACGACCACGCTCCCGTGGCAACCACCCCAACAGACTGAAGCCGACGGCGGAAAGCAAAGCACAGCGTGCGAGAAGTTGGGCCAACCGCTAGGACTGGCACCCGTCTTGGCAGGATCTGGTCGGCCATCGCAGACAATATCGGCAAGCCTTTCGGGGCATCTTCGGGGCGCCATCGTTGTGGAAAAGCGATCCCCACTGATGATGGGGGGGCCTTAGGGCGGGCGGGGGCTCTGCAACATCCGTGCTGCATCTTGGGATTCCTCACTCTGGTCCGCCTCCTCCTCCTCCTCCTCC